CTGGCTCTGGGCAGCCTAACCCGGCGGGCATCCCTGGGGCGAGGCCTTAGAGAAGCCCGCGAGCAGCTCGGTCAGCCGGGGCTAGGACATGGGGCTCAAGGCTGACACAGGGGCCAGCCCTAGAGGTGGAAGCAGGGCTGCCCCGCAGATGAGGGCTCTGTCCCAGCACTGGGTGCCGTGGACATCCTACAGAGCGGGGGGCAGCAGAGGACCAGCCGCGTCAGCCCCACGGGGCCTGACAGATGCTAGTCTGCGTCTCCCCCCATCCCCAGCACAATGTTTCCAGCCACTGGAGCCTGCACAAGCTCCATGGAAACCCCATTCTGCACACAGGGGCCCCAAGGTGCCAGCCTCTCTGCTCCCGAGGGGCCAGGGCTTAGGTGGGCTGTCCAGAGCTGAGGGCAGGGCACAGCATGGCATGCTGGCGCCCCACAGCACCACGAGGCCTACGAGCCAGGCACAGCCCACACAGGCGGGTGCTGGCGGCCAGCAGTCACGGGGACCAGCCGCCTCCTCTCCTGGTGCCGGCCACACAGCAGGGCTGCTGACTTTGAAGACAGCCTACCCTCCCCAGGTGCCCAAGAAGGCAGTCTGTGCCCAGTGAGGCCTGGAAAGCACAGGAGCCCTCAAACAAGCACCAGCAGGGGTCGGCGAAGGGGCCTTCCCAACGGCTCCTCATCAGAGCCAGTGGCAGGCGGGGTGGTGTGGCCCACTCAGGCTGTTCCCAGGGACCAGGGTCTGACCTGCCCTCGGGCTGGCCTGGGGGGTCTCCTGTCTGATGCAAGGCACCCAGAGTGCCAGGGTAGGTGAGGCTGTGATGAGAGAGCTCCAGGGTCACTCCACAGTCAGGGCTGGGCAGTACCCTCTGTCCAGCGTGTCTTTTAGAGCCATTGCCAGTGAAAAGGCAGGAAGAGCCATATCAATGGGCATACACACTGGAGGTGCCTGGGGCTGACTTGGGGCTGACTGAGGGCAGGGACAGGACATGGGCCTAGGGCTCCTGCCCTCAACTTGGGGAACTGCCTGTCCTTACCACCCGGAGCCTCTGTGCCAAGGGCCCTGACAGGGCCACTCAGGCCAGCTCTCAGCTGGGAAGGGGGCTCCCTGCAGAGGGCCTGCAGGGCGGAAGAGGCCGGGGCAGCATCCTAAGGCCTCCACCCTGGTGCAGTCACTGGCGTGGCACCCAGCAATGCTGAATGGGCCTTTCCAGGGATCTTGTGGGGAGGGCTGTCGAGTCCATGCTGGCTCCCCAGGCTCTGTGCACGGCGCCCTGGGAACGGCATCCTGAGATCTGGACTTGTGGAAGCCCCATGCAGGGCAGATAAGGGGTTCAAGCTCCAGGCGGCGGCTGCCCTGACCAAACAGCTGGGGTCAGATGGCCAGGGCCTGACAAGGGGCAGGGGGTGGGTGGGGCACAGAATCTCAGGGGTCTCACAGCACAGTCACATGGCCAGGGCCTAATGCGGGAGGGGAGGTGGTGGCACAGAATCTCAGGGGTCTCACAGCAAGTCACATGGCCAGGGCCTGACGCGAGGTGGGGCACAGAATCCCCACAAGCAGACACCCCACACTAAGTCCACCTTCACCGCTGGGGAGGCCGCGGGGTCCTGCCTGCCTACGTGCCCTCCTGGCTCAGCCCTGCATGGCACTCTGGCAGGACTCCTTGGCCACCGGCCCCAACTCCAGGGCCCCGAACACCACAGCCAATCACTGCCCATGCTGCTCAACGTTCTAAACCGACCCCAGCCCAGGCCAACTTCCCTCCCCTCCACATCTGCTTCCAGCTCCTTGGCCTGGGGTCACCCCCAGGGCCTCCCCAGCACAGGCTCTCTCTCCCCTCACCTGTTCCATCTTACTGGCTTCTCCCACCCCAGGACCCCTCCCCACCCGGCAGCAACCAGGGCTCAGTCCTCCCAAAGACCGAGGAGAACTTGGGGGGGTATGTCCCAGGTCCCTGGCAGTCTCAGGCCCTCCCCCGCCCCACAGCAGGTGACCCTGCCAGGTGAGCTGCAGGGCAGCCCCTCCTCCAATCTCCTCTCCTTCGCTACCTGGCGGAAGAGTCCCGCCCCTGGACAGAGCCCAAAGGAGGGCCCCTCATGGTCCTGTGCAGCCCCACCCCAAGAACAGCTCCAAGGGCCAGAGGGCCTCCAGCTCCTCCTGCAGGGCCCTCCCAGGCCTCCCAGGTAGCTGAGCCCAGGTCTGGGTAGAAGGTGCCCTGCTTGGCCTACTGACGGGGCAGCGGACGAAGGCCCCCCACCCACGCAACACTCCCTCCTGGACCCAGGCGCCCCACTCAGAGCATCTCCACGTGTCGCACCCTCCGGCCTCCATGGTGCCCTTGCTGGCAGGGACTGTGTCCCGGCACCGCCGCAGGGGTCCGGCCCAAGCAAGGCTACAAAAGCCTTTCTCAGCCCCGAGAAAAGCTGGCGTGGCACCTTTGCAGGTGGGTTCCCACCTGACCTCGGCCTACGTCCCCCTCCAGCGAGGAGGCTTCTGCGGCTGCTCTGTGCTCTGAGGGCTTCGCCTGGGGCCTAGCTCAGGCAGCGGGACCACAGGAGGCAATTCCCGCAGCCACCGAGGGGGGCTGACCCCACAGCCACAGCGGCCGTGCAGGACGCACAGGCCCAACAAGCCAGGCGGGCACCATACAGGTGAGACCGTGGAGCACTCCTACCAAAAGGCACAAGAAGACAGCTGACCAGACCCTGCAGAGCCCAGACGGGCATCCCCAGGCCCCAGGAGAGGGAGGCTGCATGGTCTCACCTCTGCACGCAGCCTGATGTCACCTCCCCACACAAGGGCAGGTTTCAGAACACATCTGTGGCCCACCTTCCAACAGGCCCAGCTTGGCTCAGCCTGGCGTTAGGGCTCACGCACCGCAAGGCTCATGGCCACTGACCACCTCCCCCTCAGGGGCCACCTCAAGTCAGCAGCTCTGGCTTCCAGGGACTCAGGCAGAGGAGAGGAGATGAACAGAGAGGGCCAAACCAACAAGCTGCCAGCCACGGATGTGGGGAGGGGGCTGGAGTCACATCCACACCAATGGCCCCCAAGCCAGGCCTCCACAGCTTCCCTGTGGCCAGGTCCCCGGCAGGATCAGACCGTCCTGGGGGTGGCAGCAGCGGCAGGAAGCCCAGCCTCCGGTTCTCCCACAGAGGTCTCCTGGCAGGCAGCCTATCTCCCTCCCAGGCGTGGGACTGGCAGCTCTCCTGGCATCTGGTACCAAGCGGCCCCGCGCACACACGCGGAGCCCCATGTCCGCCCAACTCCTGGTGACCCTCAGCCGTAGCAGCGGGAAGACGCATGGACATGGTGGCCTTCTTCAGGGCCCTCCCGGCGACGCGCTAGCCCTGTGCCAGTCAGAACTGGGAAAGAGGGGGCCGATTTGTGCACACCCCCCACAGCTGTTTTCTAAACATCTCTCCCAGCACGTTGTAGACACATACAGCCCATCCTTTTGTATTCATTAGTTAATTACAGTGGAAACCTCCCGTAATTAACCCGCCACCAGTAGAACTCCGTGAAGAGTGGAGAGCAGCCCTACCCACGGCCGCCAGCACAGCACTGCATGTCACTCAGTGTCTTCACTCACAGGCGGAGGCTTCCTTATCATAACGTTTTATTGAGACTGTAATTAGATTACCTTCCTGACTCCTGCATCTTGCTGCCCTGGGCCCTCCCTTCACCAAGGATTTCACAAACTACGGCTGTTCTTTCTGGGAAAGACGAGAATCTTAAACTCAGGTGGACACTGGCTGAATGCCACCTCCTCCTCCAACCCAGACCGCACTGCCCCGACTGCCCAGGCCCTGCCCTGTGCCAGGGGCCCATCATGCCGTGGCGGGTGGGGGGAGGCCGTGCACCCAGGTGAGGCGGCTCCCTTGAACCCCTGAGCCCCCGCCGAAAGCCCTTCCTGCAGCTCTGCCATAGTTACATCACAGCCGCGGACCTCCCCCAAGAGCCTGGCCCACTTTCCTTCCCAACACCACCTCCCAGCTCCTCCTCTGTGCAGCCGCGAGGGGCTGAGCCTCCACCCTGCGCCAGCGCCCTCCTCCTCCCTCCCTCCACCCCTGCCTGCCCGGGTCTGAGAACTTCTCGGATTGGAAGGGAGAGGCAGTGCCATGGGACCTCGGGGACACCAAGAGACAGGCCGGTCGTGGGAGAAGAAAGAAAATGGCTGAGCCCCAGCTTCCACAAAGGCGACTCTGTGAACGCGCCTGGCGGATCAGATGAGGGGCTGGCCGAACCCGGCAGGTCAGGGAGAGCTGGCCGCAGGCGAGGGTGGCCGGGCTTGCCTCTGGCCTGGGTTGGGTCTCGCAGGGACCCGGGCTGTCCCCCAGAACGACAGTCGGGCCCAACCGGGAAGCCCCCTCCACCGCCAGGCCACGGGGTCGCTCCACAGGCCAGGCCCCACGCACTTCTGTCCCAGCAACCGCGGCCTCTCCCTCCCCCGGGGGAGTGCGGGTCACAGACGCTCCGCCCGCCGGAGCCCAGCCGCGTCAGGCGCTGTCCAGCCCTCTGCGGGTCCCGCTCTCTCCCGCCCCCACCGCGGAGGGAGCTCGGGCCTGCCCGGCGGCCCCGGCGCGCGGAGGTGGGAGTCCCGCCGGGGGCGCAGCTGCTTGGGCAGCACGCCTATTAGCGCGGCCGCGGCAGACGGCAGATGGGCGCCCGCGCGGCCCCCTCCTCCCGCGGCACAATGGGCCCGGCCGCCGGGGCGCACAATGCGGCCCGGGCCGCGCACCTGCAGCCGGGCCCGAGGGGCACCGGCCGGGCCCGGCCCGTGCGCCCCCGTCCGCCCGTGTGTCCTTGGGCCGCGCCCGGCCGACCGCAGCGAAGCGGCCTGCGGGGTCCGTGGCGGATCCCGGGCGCGCGGGCGGACGGGGGCGCACGGGCCGCCCATTGTTCGCGGCCGGGCCTCCCCCGGGCGCCCCCCACGCCGCGCGCCGCCCGCGCGGCCGCCCCGGCCCCGGCCCCGGCCCCCGCCCCGCCCGCGCACGCACCTGTCTGCCCCTTGCCCAGCGTCTTCTCCAGCCGGTAGGGCCCCTCA